CTCATTGACTGTAGTTCTGTAAATATTGTGTTATGTTGAGGAATATAACTCTCCTGGAACCATGCCCAATTTGCTGTTTGGTGATGAAAGTTACATGTTGGTTTCTGGTGGCCTTGCAACTTTAGTCCTGAATAATTGTAGGTGTTTCTTGTTGATGTATATATTTTGCAATTTCTACAACATCGTTGTAAGGATGGTACTTTGTATTTTGGTTTTGTAAATACTTTAGTTGACTCATTGACTGTAGTTCTGTAAATATTGTGTTTTGTTGAGGAATATAACTCTCCTGGAACCATGCCCAATTTGCTGTTTGGTGATGAAAGTTACATGTTGGTTTCTGGTGGTGGATACTATAGTGAATTGTGATGAAAGGGAGTTTTTTAAGTGTTGATCTGTTTGAAGGAATACAAATTTAGATTCACGTAACCATAAGGATGGCTACTCTCTCGTTTGGGTGTGTTTATTCTCCCGTTTAGGAGTTTTTATTCTCCAATGTTGGAGTTTGTTTGTTTTTGTGTTAGTTGGTGGATGCGTTTTTTACTTTCGTTGGATATAAGATAGTTTTGATTTTGATTGGATTTTTTGGTTTGATATTTTTTTTTTCGAAACGGTAAATTCATTCAATAAAACACATAATTACAATCGGCTCACTAGCCGGAATAGGAGGACTACCAAAGCATACAAGACGAAAATGAAGAAATAAAAGCTCTCCAAAGAATACACAAGCTCCCCATAGAAGAATAACACAAACTCCCCAAATGAGAATAGCACGATCCTAAATGAGGAAAAGACAAAACACAAATCACAAAACAACACACCAACATAAACCATAGGAACACCAAAAAACCCCAAACAAACTTAAATAAACTACTAAACTAAAGCCCTCCTCTACGGTTGCCAAGCAACACCGCAATCCGCCACGCCACCAACCACCCTGAGCCGTCACCCCACAAACTGAGAGCCGATTCTGAACAACGAGTCTGAAATTGCAGCGGGCTAACAAGACCCAATTCCCCAAACCCGCGGTCCCAAGAGGATGACCACCCACAGTCCAGCACACCAAAATCAGCCCAAGTCGCCACCCCACTCTTACCGATAATCAAGATCTTACAAACCCCGGAGCCACCGACCAACACTCCCAAAAAGGCCATCGCCCAACCCCAAGAGTGACAGAGAGCCATGGGTACAAAGCACCAACGGCTTCAAGCCCGAACGCGCCAACAACCACCAACGAGCCTGGCCGACGGCCACCGGAGTTGAAACACCCCACCCGCAAGAGTCCACTCCCAGCAGCAGGGAGACGGGAAAGCATGGAAAGGAGAGGAACTAACCTCGACGCAGACCACCGACCGGTGCCCAGCCGGCGAGGACTCCCCCCAGCTCAACCTAAACCTCGATTGCACCACCACAGACTGAGCGGCAGCCAGAGCAAA